TTAATCGCGTGACGTTCTATGGCCCTAATCCAGAACGAATGAAAAAAATCACATTTTTATGGTTTTATTGGCGAATTTATAACTTAGCAGTTTTTAGTTTTTGTATTTTCAAAATTGAAGTGGATTTAGCAGGTTTTTTGTATGAATAAAATTGTTTCCATTTTATTTTTTGTGATTATGAGCTCAGTTAAAATGTTAATTAAAATAGGATTCTATAAATAAAAACAATCAAATATATAAAATAATACAACAGATTTATTCTTCCGTTTATTGCAACAAAAATAGGCAGTTTATAAAACATATATTAGTACCTATACGTGAGGTATTCCTCTCCCAAATTAATAGTACAAAGTACACATATAAGATAATTTAAGTAGGAACTCAATAATGCCAGAAAGTATGATACATATTATTCAATCATGAGGTAAATTGTCATAGTAGGCGTGGTAATCTTCAGGAAGTAATCGTTTGAAATACTGGAGATCTCATACTTTCTGCAAGCAATCGTACGCCTACTCTCATATAAATTCGGAAGGCGAGAAAACGGCAAGGAAACAGCTACTGGGGATTTTTTTGCGGTTCNCGCTTGGTGTATACCGTAGGGCACGTTTATCAGTTACTTAAGCAGCACCTTTGCCGCGACCGGGACGAATTCTATTAAAGAATTGAACTATGTTAAAGCTTTTAAAGAACGTGTAACTAAGATAAGTTACGTCATATGGTTTTGATTTTTTTCTAGCTCATCTACATACTTCAATATATTCTGCAGGAACATGGGTATCTCCTTTCTTAAGTGCTCGTTCGATAGTGGAATGGATACAATCAGCTCCCATTTAGGTATGGCCTACTTCAAGAAACTTTTGCTCAATAATGATATTGTTATTTATAGCTGTGGATAACAAAGCACTAGCCATAATACAGTTTCGGTTTTGATATGTGCATTCGTCGCTATAAAAAATTACTGTAATTGGCTCTCCGGAACTATTATTTGGTACTACTTTTTTTTCTATCAAATCTACCCACACGCTGGAAAACTCTTCTGCATTTAATCTTCCTTCTGTTTCGTTCCACAAGTAACAATAATTTCCTTGAGATATAAAAAATTAAAGCTTATTCGCTGGCTATTACCTTGGCTTAAACGCATAAAGTAATACTCTAAGTTAGAACAATAATCGAGCGACAGAAGCACAAAATGTTGGATTTAGCAGTTGAATTTGAACTGATTGTACTTAGCAGCCTAACAGGCTAACCTAATATTCACGCACGCCGCCAATTTATTGTCAAAAATTTCTCATGCACATGCAACTTGTATGAGATCAACCGAAATTGAACGGCGTGCGTATGAAGCTAACTCAATTTCCAATTTTTGTTCTGCGTGACATTTTGATTTGACGTTTCGCTCAATGAAATCAAATGCAAACGCACGCAAGCCAATTTCGGGTGACGCAAAAAAACAAATTCGACGGCGTGCGTACCAAAACGCAAGCCGCGAATATTAGGTTAGCCTGTACAGTACAAAAATCTGTAGTTAACTCCCGATTCTGAGTTAACTACGCATTGTGAAATTGGCCCTAAGCCGACGATATGTATGTATATGTATGTGCATACATAGAAGTGAAATATAAATAAATTTAAGTAACACATAAATAAACAAGTAAGAAAGTCTAAGTTCGGGCGGAGCCGAACATTAAATACCCGGCGCAAGTAAATCACCTTTCCGAAAGCTACCGCTACATGGTACGCCGGGGTGTATCAATTTTGAGTAAATTAGCTTCCTTAAATTTCGAAATATTGAAGTTTCAAGCATTTCCGTAATTTTAGTCTGATTTCAATAATTTTCAACTTCTTGCTTCGATGTAGCAAGCACAATAACCACACCGAGTTTGGTACAAATTGGTAGAACGGTTACCGAGATACAAATATGTGATCATAAGTGGGCGGTGCCACGCCCTTTTTTCAAAATTTTATCATAAACGTATTTCTTGGTAAAAAATGTTGCAAGCATCAATTTGAATAAATTAGCTTAATATTTACTGCTTTATCGAAGATTTCGTATTTCTCTAAATTATAGTTATATGGGATATGGGCGTGGTTATTGTCCGATTTAAAAAATTTTCGGCCATTTCGTATGTTATACCAAGACCAACAACTGTGCCAAGTTTGGAAGAAATAGCCCATTTTCCAAACATTTATAATGTTCTTATTTTTCGTCTAAAACTTATTGTAAATATCAATTTTGAGTGAATAATCTTCAGTAGTTACTAAAATATCACAGTTTTCGTATTTCTGAAAATTACCGTTATATGGGAGGAGATGTGGTTATTGTCTGATTTTGCCATTTTCAATACCATCCGTCCTACGCCAGAAAGAAGTGCACGTACCAAGTTTCGTTAAGATATCTAAATTTTTACTCGAGTTATCGTGTGCACAGACGGACGGACGGACAGACAGTCACCGCTTAATCGATTTCTCTTTTCATTCTGATCATTTATGTATACATTTGTCTATATCTATCTCGATTAGTTTTGCCCGTTACAAACAATCGTTATGTGAACAAAGTTATAATACCCTTGTGCACAAGTGCGCTCGGGTATTAAAAACCTATGTCATAAACATTTGAATTTTATCATCCGCGTCTTTGCTAGTCAACTTTACGGTATCACGACAAAATCACATTTGAGCCTCTCACCATCTGTGGCAAACGAGAGCGAGCATGTTGGCGCACATGTGCGTGCGAATGATCGCTGTAAAAACGCACAGCCAAAGCAAGCGACCAAGTTCGCGACGACAGACTAATTTCCTTTGTCGCCGCTGGCGGCCGCGGTACAATACGATCCATTTTGGCAATCTGCTAAATATTCTCAGGTTTTTAAATACTGTATTAGTTTTGGTTAAAAAATAATAATCTTTTTGTTTGGAAAGTTTTTATTTGTACCATTTCGCCGTAGTTGTGTTTTACTGAGCGACATTTTTGGGCAAAAGATGCTTTACGTCGTCGCTCTAATGGGCGAAAACTCTCCGTTCGCCGGTATTGTGTTTCAACGGTAATTCCCAAATGTGCCGAAAGTGGTATCATCGTAGCTATACATACAAATTTAGAAATAAGTTTTTTCGATTTACCTCTAATCCATACAGTACAACATCACACGGTTTCTCTCCACATATAGCTTTAATTTTGTTTTCCAATTCCGGTACAAGCATACTGAATTGAGTTTTAGTTATAACCGCTTCGGCATGTGATATATCTAAATCACAAACGGTATTGCCTAACTTTTCCGGATATTGTTCAGTTACTATTAAAGGAATTCCAAATTCTTTACCGGCCTTGGTCTGAAAAGAAAATTAATTTTAATTATTCGGCTTAGTAACTTGAAGAGGTTGTCAGAAGCAGGCATAAATATGGGTTGGACGAGTCAAAATTAGTGAGAGCACATATCGCACACATACATATGCACATATGTCTTAAGGCTCTGTTATGCATACATGGCATTGCTTGAAAGTTGTCACATAAGGAATCTGTTAAATGAGCGGTTACCTAACGCACAGCATTATATACGTAAGAAGTCTGTTGGTTTTTGATTTCTACGTAAAAATGGTATAGCAGTGCATGCACTGCCAAGTATGCATAACAGAGCCTTTAAAAGAGCTATCTCAAAATTCAGATCGGGAAATATAACTGCTTGTGGATCCTACATATGGGTATTTCCAAACTGGCGTTACGTGACACTTGTTAAAAAACAAATTGAAATAGCCAAAGGTTTTTCTAGATTTACATTGCATTTAAATAGCTCCTTACTCAGTAATAAAATTACAACTGTTGGTGGTGGCGATTAGGCGCCTAAGCAATTTTCTGGTTATCGAAGATCGAAAGTGAAATTCGTATTATGAGCTATGCAACCGTGTCGAAATTTTCGTTGAGTATCGAAATTTCTGTCGAACAGAATTTTGCTTTCGATGGTGTAGCGAAGTGTTAGAAAATTGTGAAAAATGTATGATTTTGCATTTGTTTTCTTACTTTTTGACGGGTAGACACTAATTTTAATTTTTTTTTTTATCAATTTCATGCAGTTTTAACGTCGTGAATACAAAACACAAGCTCGAAAGGCTGCTTTTACTTGTGAAAGAAAATCGCAATACTCAGTTGGCACGATCTCTGAGAACAAATCATAGAGCTGTGGATAGTTTTAAAATATTTTAAATAGATTTGGCTCACAAACGCCTCTTTAGACAGTCGGAAGTTTTTTAGTAAATCTGTAGACAAATTTCTTAAATATATTTTATGTCAAAATATATTGTAAAGACTACACTTAAACTCTCTTAAACATTTACTACTCCTGGCCAGTTCACTAAACTCTCTGACGAATCGTTGAACCCCAGAACTACGTTGTACTAATTTTTACCACGTTTTTGTAAACTTGCTTTCTTTTTCATTTCATTTTAATTTGCATAAATTTACATAAATATGTATAAGCACACTATTTAGTTGCTCGATTTGTAAACAAAGCTTCTCAGCGGTGAAAAATAAACTATTGTGAACAACATAAACCAGCGAAGTTCACAATAGCGCTATTCTTCATCGAATGAGCGCCAAAATACCAAATGAAAATTCGTTCGATCAGCACTTTCGACCACAGTCGAAGATCGAATGTAACTCATAATAGGGGCCTGTAACCCACAATGTGGTTGGCATTGCTGAGGCATCAATTTAAGTGCCAGTCCATCGAACCAATCCGAAGAATCTGGTCGAGCTCGATTAGCTGAGATGGAGACTACGCCAAGAAATCATATAAATTTCGAGGAGCTGGAAGCTGCCGTACCCAAGTTCAGTGGCGATGACCACCGCGATGTCAATAAGTGGTTCATACAATTTGAAGACTATGCAAAAGCAAACAATCTCAGCGAGAGACATAAGTGCCTGTCCCAACGCCGTTGTATGATGGGAACAGCCAAGGAGTGCGTTCTTAACCACGGCATTACTGATTATGGCAGTTTGAGGACGCTCCTGCAAACAATGTCCCATCGCACCGCTACTAGGCATGAAATTTACCGCCAGCTGCGAGCACGCAACTTGAATTATTACCTAGATGTTAAGCAATGGGTAAGTGTGGCCTTATGTAAATCGAATCCAATCAGAAACATAGGTTTTACAAATAATTATTCTCTTCTCAAAACAAATTTCCAATAAAATTTACCGGCATCGGCAAACGCAGAATATACTCGTTTGGTACAGTATTGTGCACGACAAGATTTCGTGATAAAACTCGATACATTCAAATGATGACAGTTCCGGATAACACAATAACGACCCCTCTGATACTCGGTCGAGACTTCATGAAAATATTTAATATACATTTAAAACAAGTGAATAAGAAAAATAAACATGAATTCCAAAACAATTTTTGTTCAATACCTGAATTAAATAAAGTTGATATTAGTTCTAATGTGAAATACAGTGTTTCTGATTCGATAGTAGTTTATTTATGTGACGGTGACTGCAGGGAACGTTCTGATAATGGCAAAAACAGCCAGGATGAGGTTCAAAGTGGGGAAAGCACGCGATGATAAAATGCCGAACTTCAGTGATTATAATAGTGAACATACCGATGAATATACCGATGTATTGAGTGAACTTAATGCGGTTGACTTTGGGCTTGAATCAGATATAGACCTAGGACCTAAGTTAGATAGTGTTAAGCGAGAAGCTCACACCCGTTTTATATGATTCATATATGGCACCCTCAGTCATGAAAATCCGCCTAACTGATGA